GCTTAAGCCCCCTCTTCTTGGCAATTTCCTATACTCATATTTTTCATGCATCTTTCTTGGGGAATCAATCCTACACATTTTACAACCTATTTAACAAGCTTGTGATATCCCTATATCATTGCTCAACTCTCATCCTCTCATCATTGATTTAACGGAAATTGGGCAGCATAATCTTTGTTTTCTCAACGTTTCCCAACTTAGCACAAGGTACCTAATTGACTTTCCAGATCAACATATCCAATACATAAAAAATACATTCATGCATTTAACTTACAGTAAGCATCATACACCAATATCTTCATTACTTACAATATTACATCATGTCTTAATTACAAATCTCATATACATGCCAAAAGACTTAGCTACAAAATGAACATGATCAAAGCAAGTAACCCTGTATCAGATACCCATTACTACTACAATGATCATGCACTAAGTCCTCCAAAATACATCACGTGGCATCAAAATATACATATAGCAATGCTAAATGGCATGCAACTCAACATGTCAAGCTATCAGGTACAGTCTACTCACGCTTCTTGCCTCGATCAACCTCATCTCTATCAGTACCTGAAATTATGCCCCACAACACGGGGTGAGATATACGAATATATCACAGTAAACCAGAGGTCCTTGGAGATCACTCCACCTTAAGGTTCACTTTGATGTACACATAATCATAATAGCTTAACACATTCTTATCCACAAGCATCACATGGACTTCCAAGAGAGATCCACTATGGGCTGTTTCTCTTAGGCTCTTACCACATGGAGATCCACATAGGGCTGTTTCCAAGGGAAGTCCTTTCCTCAATCTAGGAACCTCCAAGAGGGATCCACATAGGGCTGTTCCTCTTAGGCTCTAACCACATGGAGATCCACATAGGGCTGTTTCCAAGGGAAGTCCTTTCCTCAATCTAGGAACCTCCAAGAGGGATCCACATAGGGCTGTTCCTCTTAGGCTCTAACCACATGGAGATCCACATAGGGCTGTTTCCAAGGGAAGTCCTTTCCTCAATCTAGGAACCTCCAAGAGGGATCCACATAGGGCTGTTCCTCTTAGGCTCTAACCACATGGAGATCCACATAGGGCTGTTTCCAAGGGAAGTTCCTACCAATCATCCTCATCATAATACTATCACGCATAACCTCAATCACAATCCTCAACCATTACCTCATTCATTATTGCTACTTCTATAATCATTCCTCAATTACTCTTAAACAATCAAACATCAACCAATAATCATCAATCAATCATAACATGTATCAATGCATGAATCAATGCATGAGCATACAATCACTATCATAATTACATATCACATCTCATAAACCATTTCTCCTCAACGGAGTATGGTGGAACACTCAATGGGATCAACCACAAGGTCCAAAGGTTTACCTTGCTCTTGAGCTTTCCTCAATTGCACACAACCCCAAGGGTTGGTCACTCCACTTGGTCCTCTTGCCTCAATCCTATCAACACAAGGAATACAATCAAACAATGCTAACAATGCAAGGAAATCCATAGTTCCAAGCCTAGATTTCTCAAAACATCAAAGCATACTAAAATAACACTATAAACTCATTTCTACCGATTAAATGTCATTCCTAGCATTTTTCACAACATACTCTAAGCCTCATTCTTCCTTGAACATAGCCAATCTACTCAACATTTCATAAAAACCCTAAAACACTATTCATTAAACCCTAACCATGAAATTTTCCAAGAAAACAAGGTTCAAGGGTTAAAATCTTACCACCAATGGTCACACAATAGAGGAATGAGTGTTCCTCAAGCTTCTATGGAGGTAGAAACTCCCAAAACCCCAAAATCTCACAAAGGGCCGAATTTTTGAGGGGCAATATCCCTCTCCACAATGCTCCCCACTCAAAACTAAGCTTGGATTATGAAAGAGGAGAAGATTTAGAGTGGTTTAGGCTTTTGAACGGATGGATTTGGTTGAGGATTGCTCCACCTAGGGTTCTCCCTCTCCTTTCCTCTTCCTTTTCCCCTCTTCTCCTTCTTCTCTTCTTTTCCTCTCTTCTGCACGACGGGTTGGGGAGGGACAATTGGGTTCTTTTTTTCTTTTAAGTCACTTAACATTAGTTAAGTGGAATCAAGTGGGTATTGGTTCATCTATCTATTCAACTCCATTAATTACCAAACTTTACCCAAAAGTCTGGAATATTATTCTAGGAATATTACTATTTTATTTTTATATTTTGGGTACTTTCGCCTGTACCCATTTATACCCCTTAATTTTCACTGAGTACACTTTTTAACTCCAAGTGACTCAGATTCATTTAATTAAGCCTTATACTTAATTTTACTCACTAAAATATGCTTAATTATTTAATTAAAATTAATCAATTAAATGCTTAAGTTCGGGGTATTATAAGAGCTCTCTCATGTTATAGAGACAATCATGTGTAGGACCCACCTACTTATAGAAAAAGATAAAAAAGTAACACAGAAATTGATGTTGAGTGAAACATAACTTCTCATTTAAAATGACACATCATTCTATACTTGAAAATGTTATACTTACTACCTATTTTTCTTACTACCTCTTATTATTAAATCTTAACCGTTGATTTCCGTCAATCTAACTGTTAAAATTTATTGTAAATTAATAATTAATTAATAAATATGACCCCATAAATTACAACTGTTAGACTGACGAAAATTAACAGTTAAGATTTGGTAGTAACAAATAGTAAAAAAAAAAGGTAGTAAGTATAACCTCTCCCTACTTTAAAATAATATTTTTTTCCTTTAATTTTTTGTTATTTTGCTCGTATTTTATTTTTCACCCTATTATTATTTCTTTTGAAACATACAAATGTTGAATTAATTACTTGTAAATATTATAATTTTGTTTTCTTATTGGAAAAATATTTTTACTTTTGCTGCATAAAATATTTTTCTACCACACTCACATTGAAGTGAGTGGATTATATTGTGAAAAGAAAAGAGAAAAAAAAAATTAATGGAACTCATTCATTTTTATTTGAGTGTGACAGATAAATATTTTTTACAACAAAAATAAAAATATTAAAACATTTCTTAATACACTTTTATTTATTTATCAAATAGGTAAAATAAAACTCACGCAATCATTCTAAGGTAATCAATCATCTTAGAATGAGTGTATTGGGTTTAATCTCTACTCTTCTTGCACATAACATATTCTCGAAAATTTAATTTTAAGTTCACTCTGTAAAGTTAAAAAAAATTCAATTTTTTCCTCATAACAAATAAAATTGGTGGGAACTCTATTTCCTACCTCGGTTGTTACACCAATCTTCTCTTGGAAAAATTCACTGATCTTCTGAGCAACTTAAAGATCAATTTGATTCTATTAGGAATTAGGATTCAAAATATTACACATTGATCTTTGAATCATTTTTTTCCAGAAGTAACGAACAAATATAGAATCATAGCGATTACCTAAATGCCTTTTTAGATATTTTTCGATGTGCCTAAGGACACAATATAATAGATCATTGTATTGAGTAGTTCGATCATAGTCTATTATCATAAAAATGGTTGCTAGCTTGCGCAACAACAACTATAAGAAATTCAATATAATGTGTAAACAATGACACTTAGGTATCATAGTAAGTAGATAAGTATGGATAATGGGACAAATAATGCATATAACGAGCTAAAATAATGGTCAAAGAACTTAACATAACTACGTTAATAGATAATTGAGTGTGGCGTGATATTGTTAGGATCTCATATAGAACTTTATGACCCTGACTTGTAAAGGATCATTATGAGACTCTAAAATATGTTTGATTTATACCATGACCAATACTCTAATTGGTCCTATACACGTGAACTAGAAATATAATTGCAATAGCTAAATGGTGGTGTGAAATATTGATCAGCCATAGACAGCTACTTAATGAATCTAGTCCTCCACTAAAAATAAGAAATTCTGCGACTTTGACCAATTCAAGGAGAAAAAAAAGATTGCTCCTGGGAAAAATTTGGATAAATTAAATTGAGCCAAAAGATCTCATTCAAGATAAGTTCCCAAGGAAGTAAAATCTCTTTTAGATCTACTCTAACATTAATAAAAATACATGTAATTGATGTCCGCCCAAGAAAAAGACTTGTTTTGGCCGACCGACATTATAGGCCCAACTAGTTGGATTCAGTTTAGAATCTTACACCTAGAACTTTCTAGAGGGCACCTATGATAAGCCATAAAGGCTCATCGCTAGGAATTCCCTTTTTTCCAACATTGTTGTTCCACTATACACTGACAGTGGATGCAGCATGCCTGCTCTAAGAGACCAGGCTAGCTAGATGACACACCTTTATGCTTTCTCTCTTCCACGTTTGAGAGCGACAACTCCTCTCCAAGTACCTCATTCTCCCATAAAAGCGGCATCTTCAGGTCTTATCGTCAATGGATCTTATGAGATGTTACTCTACACCAAGGTAGAGCTAGCTACTAGCCATTTACCGACACTCCCCCACTTTTGATATACAACACATGAGAAGCTTTAATGGTGCCTTAGTTTTTACCATTGCTACTATGAGCATCCTTATATCTACATACTTCATCCTCGAAGGGATATATTTGTGGCTTTACCCACACCAACCGTTTAGGACCCAAGTCCTAATAGCCCTGCCAAATGGTGATACAACAGCTTTTCAGAAATAATTTGTAGAAACCCTAAAATCTTCTAATGTTTGCTTTCAACAATACGGATTCTAATAAGCTCTTGTGTAATATGGTAAACCGAAATTTAAGTCTTCAATGAAAATTATTTAAGACCTTAGCTTTGAGAAGTTCAAATATGATTTCTTTAAAACATATAAAGCGAAATTAAACTTGTGAAAATAGACCTATGAAATTTGTTGTACTTGATAAAAATCCAAAAAGTTGAAGTACAACTTAAATTTATAGAAGAATTTTCTGTTAGGATCATCCTCATGCATGCCTTAGTCTCGCTACATGAAATCAAGGCTAATTTGTCAAATTAAAAACGAGCAAATTAGCCTACAATTCACGCATATCACTTTTTCCCCTCTCAGGTTTGTTTAGTTTTGGGTAACAAAAGGTTTTTCTTCCATTTTGCTAAACGTTTCAAAAAAGTCATCACATCAGCAGGGTCACGCAGAGAATATGAAGCCTTTGTCTCCTTAGCAATTGAAGAAACAACGATAGGAAAACCTCTTCCAATGTGTCTTATAACCTGCATGCATTAAACCCCTCATCAATTAAGCTAACTATTGTTGAAACCTTATGTTTTGATCATGTATAAAATGCTTAATAGAGTGTATTAAAAAACTATAATTAGTAAATATAACCATATATTTAGTGTTCTAACTAATTGAGCTAACTCAATTTATTCACCAAAATGGGGTTTCTATTTTGATAAACCATACCTTAAAAGCATCTTCATCAGTTCTGTCATCACCAATGTACATAGGAAGAACATCATTAGAGTTGTCAAAGCCAAGAGTGTCAAGCAAATACATCAGAGCATGACCTTTATCCCAGTTCACATTTGGGCGTATCTCCATAACCTGATTAAGGATATTGAATTTAAGTTTAAGAATCCAACAACTTTTATTGATCAATGGCTATAGCTCCCTAAGTCGATAAAACTAAGATGAACACATTGATAGTCATAGCTAGAAATCTCATGAACCAACTCTCTGCAAAACTGAAACTCTTAGGTGAAAACAAATAAATGATTTTATATTACATCAATAGCAAGAAGATAGGGAAACTATTATTGTACCTTTCTTCCTCCTGATATGTGAAAGTTAGGGTAAGATTTCATAATAGACTCCACAATTTCTCTGAGAACAACAATATCCTATAATTTTGAGAAGTAACATAAGCTTATGAGCTTCATATTTTACATTAGATTTGTCAATCTAGTGTGTATCTTAATACCTCTTCATTTTTCACACGCCTGTAGTGTACACTGATGCAGAACATATTATCCTCTATCATAGAGCCTTTTATTAATGTAGTTTTTTCTTTCAAAATCTTCCTTATCTGCAAGAAATAAATGAAACATCAATGAGTAGAAGAAAATGATATATGAAGAGTCAATTCTCTTCACATTAAATACAAGTTACATTTTGAACAGTAAAGGAATTACCTCTTGGATTGTTGGCAAAAATTCTTTTGCCGGATGAAAGTGAACTACTTGATTACCCTACAAAGGTAACACATTATGAGACATATGAGTGACAATGTTAAGTTATCACATGCATTATTTAATTACCATATTCAACTTTTTAATTCTGATGTGGGTTTTGGGTAACAATAGGCATAACTCTTTCACAAAAAAGTAAAAAGGAAAATTTTAGACAAACCTTTTCATCAACACCCTTTGTCTGATACTTCTTATCTTCATGTTTTGTTGAGCCAAATGGGGTTGAGATATCCAAACCATGACTACCAGCATAATATACATTCCTTAACTTAACAAATTCGTAAACCTACATATCAATAGGGAAATGAAGGCAGTGTAAGTAGAAGGATGAAAACATAGAAAGAAAACAAACATATGCCTCAAAACAGAATGTATATATTTGTTGTGTGTGTGTGATACCTTATCCCTGCTTCTTCCACTAACAATGGCAGTGGGAAAGCAAGATGCAACTTCTCTTACAGCTGCACGCATCTGCAATGTAAATCATACCCCATTGACCATTGAGTTTTAGAGGAAATGAAAGCAACAAAAAACAGCCAAAAGTAGAGAACTTGGGAATCATTAGTCACCACCAATGTTGTGGTGTTGATTGTTTTATGAAAAGCACTTACAGCATCGCTCATGTAAGCCTGATCAGGGTTATCTACAATCTGTGAAAGTGTTCCATCATAGTCCAAAAACACAACAATCTCTTTCCCTTTGGCAATGCTCATCACTTCCTCAAAATTATTCAAGGCAGAAGGATGCATTCCCTTTCAACCACGGAATTTAGAATATCAAGATTTACTTTACACACAGGAGGAATAATAATTAAGAACAAGAACCATACATAAAGGCCAACACAAATCAATGTGAGCAATATTGGATGTTCAGATAGATCATGACAAGTCATAATTGGTTGTAGTCTTGCAAACATGGCCCATAACAGTGATAGAATATGCATATAAGGAAGTACAGATTATAAAGTATTAAGTAAGTTTTTATTGGGTATGCAAGTTTGAGCTTACTAGCCAGGAAGCATAAGAACACAAAATTGATTCTCCATTCTCATCCGATTTTGCAAGTGAGATTGGTGACATGTTTGAGTGTGTTGATGCTTGTGGCATGTATCCAATAATACGAATATGGTTTGCAGAAACTGAAACTTTCGCTACCTGCATTCAAGTGTTTGTGAGAGAATTATATTAATGATGGAAATGATGTATTGCTTTTAATATCCAAACAATATATTAGTTATTAAATTTGATTGTTAAAAGGTTTCATGGGGTTAATTAGCACAAGGGGGGGTAACCTGAGTCTGAACAAGCACAAATTAAAATAGTTCAAAAAAAAAATTAAAATGACCCTAAACAGGTAAATACAGTTTGAGTTGGTTGACCGTTAAAAGAAGAATGCAAAAAAGTTCACAAGCCTTTTGTTTTCAAAGGCTGCCTTTGGCTTTATTAATATTAAACTTACCACTTTCTTAATTGTTCACGAAGTGCAAAGAAAGTGAAATCATGTGATACACTTATCTTTTCATAAGAAAAAAGAAGTTCCTTATTTGAAACTCAAGCAGTCACATTCTGAATTAGTTTCCACATGAACTACGAGATGTTCTTTTTGTGGCTACAAATTCACTGTCAAAATTGAGGGATAAAGGTGGCGAAGGTTTGTAAGGTGTCACAAGAGATATGGAAAACTGGGAATACAGTGACTACTAGAGATATAATTAGAAATGTTCTGTATAAATCAACTTCATCTATATTCTAATGGAACTCAGTGCAAACCAATGTTGTGGGATGCATTAGGAAGTATCAATCATGCATGGTTCACATGCATATTGTTTTTTAGATCAGTTTCACAACTTGAATATAATTTCCTCTAAACATTGGTAGTGGAGGAGTCAATGGTAGGAAACGAATTGATAGAATCCTTGCGCTTTTGTTACAGGGAAAAATTTTGGATTCTGGGAAAATTGATATTGGTGTTGGTTATGGCTCATACTTCGCATGTTGATGAGGGTCCTAATTATCAGGGTCAGCAGAAAGGCAACTAGGGTTCCACTCCCAGGTGAGCAGGCGGAGGTCCGGGGGCAGCGCCCCCAGGCCCGTAGAGGCTAGGTACTGTTGTGGGCTTCTGTATTGTAATTTTCTTAGCAGTTTGGGCTTGGGCTCATGCATAGCTGTTGTTAGGGTTTTGTAATCCTATTTATATTTGCCCTGTAAATCGAGAGACTTGTAACAAGTGGCGGTGATGTGAATATAGTACAGACAAGCTGGACGTAGCCTAAATTGGGTGAACTAGGGTAAATCGATGTGTCTATTCTCTCTCTTTTTTATTTTCCTTTTTCGATTTATTTGTTGTCGATTTCCAACAATTGGTAATTTTATTTACCCATATTTAGTATAAGGATTGTTAAAAAATTTCCGAAAAAATCAGATTCTCAAAAGAGATTTTTTTTGAAGTTTTTTGAACCAAAATGCTATCCAAAAATATCAAGAGTGGTATTTTTGGATTCTCATGACATAAAAAAATTTCACATAGCTTTTTGGTAACTTTTTTGCAATATTTTGGCCTACCAAACAACTTTTTGGTAATATTCTTGAAAAATTCATTTTCTCAACATATTCCTGAAAATCATAATTTCCGTGCATAAAAAGATTTCTCCTCTGCCAAAAAGCACTCTAATTTATCATACAATTTATATATTTAAACAAAATTTCAACTAAACCTATATTTATGTATGGGAAAAATATTTCTGCAGTTAACGCAGATAAGTTATCTTCATTTATTCCCAAAACGACGTTGTTTTGGTATTGAAATCTTAAAAAATTATAAATATAAAAACTATTATAACCCTGAAATAAATTAAAATTATAAAAATACCATAATTTCCGTTCCAAAATAACGTCGTATTAGATTTACTGCAGATAACTTATCTACAGTAAATGCAGAAAAAGCGAACTCTTTATGTATATTATATACACACACGATACATTATAAATGTGTGTCTCAGAAGATTTAGAAAGTTGTACATTAATTTGGCATTTTTTGGTAGATACATTTGTCGGAAATCTTAACAGGTTTAATTAATCTGATTTTGGATCTGTAGCTCTCCACTATTTCCAGAAATTGCAACTCCAACTACTTTTGAATAGGTCAAATCCCGGAATCCAAATCGCTACTACATTAAAAGGCTTGTTTGGTGTGACGTATAAAGCATGATAGTATAAGTTTACACTATACGTTATGATATTTTCAGTTGTTTGATATGACCATCGTATAGTATAAGTTTATACAGCATAATCCCTTAATATATCAAAATGATGTATAACTTAATCCGGCCTAAGGATGAGGGATAAAGTCTGATAAGCGATTGATGTATTAACATCATTGACCAATGTAATTCTCAAAAATTAATATATTATTTTAATATTAATCTATTAAAATAAAAATTAATTTTTCAAGATTGAATAATTTTATTTTTATAAAAATTAATTTATATTTTGGACACACTGATCAATAAATTTTTATAAAAATTAATATTATATGATATTTTTTGAAGAATTATATAAATTCTTTATTAAAAGATATTTTTATTAAAAATATTTATTTTTATCATATATAGTATTATACAGTACATTACCAAACACTAGATGATATTATTTTATACAATACCGTGCCAAACACTGGATAGTATTAAAATTCAATCAGATCTTATACAATCAGGTCTTATACTATCAGGCTTTATCATATACTATGCACCAAACATGCCCTAAGGGGGTAGGATTAAGTCTGATAACGGGTTGATGTATTAATATTGCTTAAAACTATAATTCCCAAGAACTAATATAACATTTCAATATTAATATATTAAAATAATTTTTTTTAGTATATTAATTTTTTAAAAATTGAAGGATATTATCTTATACAATACCATACCAAACATAGGATAGTATAAAATTTAATCAGATCTTATACAATTAGGTCTTATACTATCAGGCCTTATCTTATACTATGTACCAAACATGACCTAAGAAATCTTGAGTTATAAAAAACTTTCAAGGAAACGTTTAAAAGAAAGGATTACAATTTGAAAATTATAAAGGCATAATTTTTGTTTTCTAGGTAATCATTGCGAACAAATAAAAGAAACAAAACTACAATTCTAAAAGTACAAGCAAATCCAACATCAAGACCCTAGAGTATAATTGATGTAAAGCTCTGAATTAATAAGATCTTATTGATCATACAATCATTCACGTTTTCCACTACAGGAAAAGAAAAATAATTGTGACTATACAACATTTCATAATTTAAAATAGAGATTAATGTTTCTCATGTTATAGAAGATTATTTTATTTCCTATACATACATAAAAGAGTGCGGAACCACTCTTTTTTTTCTCTCTCTCTTCTCTTAACTTTGCCCCACATGGATCTCACACACTTTTATGTGTGTATAGAAGATAAAATTATCTCATATATATATATATATATATATATATATATATATATATATATATATATATCATGAAAAATATTAATCCCTTTAAAATATGATATCTTATGCAAAGAAGATTATGCGATCTTTAGGATATATATACAGGATTTTTGACCCTTTTGTCCCTCATTAATTAATTAATAATCATTTTGCCCCTGATTCAAAATTATCCACCAATCTGTCCCTTTTTAATCGATTAACTTGAATATTTAATCGATTAAATGGTTGACTCGAGATTTAATCGATTAAATCTCCCTATTTAATCAATTAAAAAATTATATTGACTTGTTTTCCTTTGTTATCTGTTGGGAGATTTAATCGATTAAATAGACAGATTTAATGGCTTTTTCACCCTTTTGCCCCTTATTAATTAATTAATAACCATTTTGCCCCTGATTCGAAACTATCTACCAATCTGCCCCTCTTTAATCGACTACCTTGCATTTTTAATCGACTAAACGGTTGTTGGGAGATCTAATCGACTAAATCTCTCTACTTAATCGATTAAAATCATACTGACTTTTTTTTTTTTTTTGTAAAATATGAAGATTTAGTCGACTAAATAGGGAGATTTAGTCGACTAAATCTCCCAGCAGCCATTTTTTGTCTGTTTTGGCCATTTAGTCGATTAAAAATGCAAAGTAGTCGACTAAAGAGGGGCAGATTGGTAGATAGTTTCGAATCAGGGGCAAAATGGTTATTAATTAATTAATAAGGGGTAAAAGGGTGAAAAAGCCCAGATTTAATCGATTAAATCTCCCAACAACCATTTTTGCCTGTTTTGACCATTTAGTCGATTAAATATTCAAGTTAATCGATTAAAAAGGGCAAATTGGTGGATAGTTTTGAATCAGGGGCAAAATAGTTATTAATTAATTAATGAGAAGCAAAAAGATAAAAAAGCCTATATATACTTATACAAGTTGGTTCCAGTTAGTTGTTACCTATATGGCGTAGAGCTAATCCTCTCAAAAAAATCAAAAATACAGAGTTTTTTTTTTTGGTTAAAATAGAGAGTTTTTAAGTGTATGTATAATGATCCCTTCAATTAATTTTTTTATATATATATTTAGAACTAACCAATATATTATTCAGGAAGATTGTCTTGTTTTAAGGTTGGAGATAATTAACCTGTATTAACCAAAAATTGCTAACAAAAATGGAACACGGGACAGTTCAATATTATTAAGATGCCTCAAGCTAAGTATAAAATAAGGATTTTTATTAAATTAAAGGAAAAAATTATTCAAATTCTATCCTTTTA